CTTTACCTTATGTCAAGTCATTTAGTGAAAAGAATATTCCAACCAAAGCCCGTCCAATTCAAATGAGCCAAGAATTAATGGAATTATGCAAAGCCGAAGTCACGGATCTAGTCAACAAAGGAATAGTTAGAAAAAGTAAGTCACCCTGGTCTTGTCCAGCTTTTTATGTCCAGAAAAATGCTGAGTTAGAAAGAGGAGCCCCACGACTAGTTATTAATTATAAGCCCCTTAATTCGGTTTTAGAATGGATTAGATACCCAATTCCTAATAAAAGAGATTTAGTAAATAGGTTAGAAAAGGCAGTGATATTTAGTAAATTTGATATGAAAAGCGGTTTTTGGCAAATTCAAATTAAGGAATCAGACAGATATAAGACTGCATTTGTTACCCCTTTCGATCATTATGAATGGAATGTTATGCCTTTTGGATTAAAAAATGCCCCTAGCGAATTCCAAAATATAATGAATGAAATCTTTAATGCTCACAGTCATTTTTCCATAGTATACATAGATGATGTTCTTATCTTTTCTGAGTCAATAGAACAACATTGGAAGCATTTACATAAATTTTTTCAGATAGTTAAATCTAATGGTCTAGTCATTTCAGCTAAGAAGATTAAGCTCTTCCAAGTCAATGTCAGGTTTCTAGGATTCAATATAAGCCAAGGCCAAATAAGCCCAATCAATCGAGTTATCCAGTTTGCTGATAAATTTCCAGATCAAATTCTTCAAAAAAGCCAACTTCAAAGGTTTTTAGGTTCTTTAAATTATGTTTCTGATTTTTATCAAAATCTGAGAAAATTATCACTATGTCAAATTTCACTTACAGCAACACTAGATAGGCATCGGTAGAGAGTGAAATCGATGCTATTAGCAGATTAGGCATCAATTTCGAAAATAACGATACTAAACAGGTATAAAGACATCAGCGCGCATTTTTGTTTATTTATGACGATGGCTTTATTCCCCTTTAGCATCATCTACAAAAATATAGATGCCTAAAGTGATTAGTTTTTATTTTATTTTTAAGAGGGTCATTTTTTGGTAATCTACCTCTGATGCCTAAAGTCTGAGTCAACGCCCTAACCCAAAAGTTTTACTCTCCCTCGCAAACTCTCTCTGAAACTTCAGCTCCCTCTCAAACTCTAGCCCCAATTCTTCTAACTCCCTCTCAATTTTTTCACTCACTCTGAAACTAACCCAAAATTTTCACGCTCTCCCTCGCAAATTCTGCCTGAAACTTCATTTCCCTCTGAAACTCTTGCCCCAATTACTTCCAGCTCCCTCTCAATTTTTTCACTCCCTCTCAAACTGTCACCCTAAAACTCCATCTCCTGGAAAAATCTCGCCTCACCCTCTCAATTTTTTTCAGTCCCTCTGAAACTCTCTCTTTCTTCTCTCTCCTTCATCACTGCCCCATTCTTGCGAAAATCCTCCCCCTTTCCCTCTTAGAATGTTCATATTCCCAGAATACTCTACCCCTAATTTTTCGTGTAGCAGCCAGAGTCCTCTCTGACCCTAAACTCACTCACTCTCTCTCTAACCCAAAACCCTCTCTAGCTCTATCTGATTCCAAATCCCTTTTATTCTCTTTAACCCCAAACGAGCTCATTCTTTCTCATCTAGACATCCTCTTCGTTCCCAAACCCTCTCACGACTGCAATCGCAAGGTAACCCTAACTCTCTTTATCGCTCTTTTATTTTCCAATTTAGCCTTGCAGAACCTCACGGCTGCACCCTCAATTGGTTTTACTAAATTTTGTAGAACCTCATTGGCTATGAAGTTTCAAATTCTTTCAATTATTTCAATTTATGTTCTACCAGATACTACAAAGTTTCAAATTCTTTCAAAAGTTTAATTTATATTTAGATTTTTTATTATTCATTTTGCTGAATCTAATGGTGCTTTGGTTTGTTTTTAGAAGAGGTGCCATGTGATTGGTTGAAGTTAGAGAAAAAGCTGGGTGAGAGGACGGTGGGAAAGAGGTAAAAGTCAGCTTCTTATACCCTTTTAGAAAAAAAGAAATTGTTGGCTAGTATGTTCAATCTGAAGATTCTTCTAATTGAATTTGATTTAAGAACTGCAATTATCTGCTCTAATTTCTTTTTCATGTTTCATTATTGTTTTACTTTTGATTTTTTTCACTACAAGAGTGTGCGGTAGATAGCAGGTGTTCGACTGATCGTGTGGATCTGCCTGAAAATGGTGCCGCCCAAGTGTTCGATGAAAGGTCTGAACACAGCGTTTGAGGCAGGTGCTTTGTTTTGATTATGATTCAGAATTTTTTTCCTTTCTCATTTTAATTTTCCGTTTATATTTTTTTAATCCTCTTCCTCTGCTGCCAAGGATCAACGCCACTACCCCATGACCACTAACTGCTCCACATTTTGGTAAGAATTCTTTATTTTTCAATTCAATTTTAATTTGTTTTGGTGTTTGGGGTCAAATCTATCTTGGTATTTGGCAGAAATTTAGGTTTTTTAAACTAACTAAATGAGAATTTCAATTCTGTATATGTTTCATATTATTTGCTGTTTAGTTTGTAGTTTTAGATTTGATCTTTGGTTCATGTTTATTTATGATGAGTTGTACGCTGAAGATCAGCAAGTAGTTGGTTGAGTCCCTCTTTATTTGGTTACAGGTCTGGTTTCTTATGAAAAAAACATCTTGCAATTTGAAGATGACACAAACAGGGAAACACAGCTTCATTATCAATCTGATTTCTGTGTAGTGTGTTTCCTTGAACATAAGTGAGGCTACTTTCTAAGGTTAAGTACAGAAGGTTTAGCTTCCAAAGTTAATTTCACCTAAACCTAAAAGAAATATTAAAAGACTCGTCAAACATCAAAAACTCATTGAATATTTTGGCATCGTACTATTTTGGCATTCAACTAACACATCTTTGTTCTGATTTGGTAAATTGACTCATTATAATTGTTTTTGTGCCAAATTGCAGATCATATAGCCCTTATACTTGCGCATTCTAATCTTTTATGTACTGAATATGTGTTTTTCGTTGATCAAATTTCCTAGTCTTTGTTTTTGTCATATGTTTTTAAATTGTATTTTTTTGTGAACACCTTCAGTCTTGTTTTTCTCTTTCGAAGTTTTTGTTAAAATTTGTCCAGATGGTTGATGGGAGGCTGATTTTTGTTGAAGTTGCCCAGACTCAAAAACAGGAAGAGGATACCAAATCTAGATAATGACCTAATTTTTTCTCTATGTTGTTCAAGATGGGTTAACTTCTTAAGATTGAACATATATTATATTTACTATTGTATGCTCATCATTGCTTTGGTACTTCAAGTTTGAGAAATCTGAATACAGCTTCCTCTTGTAATGTCATTTTTCCCATTAAAAAAGAGAAGAAATGATTCTATTATACTTCAGCAAGTAAAGGTATTTTGAAAAATAACCAAAAGGTTTTGGCATATCTTTACTTTTATTGTTTCTTTTATTGGATAGTAATTACCTTGTTATCTAGTTAGATTGGTTGACAAATTCAGTTTTTTTGGTAGTTAGGTCTGTGTTAATATGAACCTTGTGTAATTTTTTTTCACAGCAATGTGCCTCTGTTTTTTTGGTAGTTAGGTCTGTGTCAATTGAGAAAAAATGCTAGCTGTGCATGTCCAACTCTCTACCCCATCACATGATCATTTAATTGCTAGTTTAAACATGAAGTGGGATCCAATTAATGACTTCTTGTTTAATTAGATTGATTGACAAATTAGATTTTCTTGTTCACCAATATGATTTCGTAAATTTGCATATTGGTTCATTTGAAGTGACAACATATCTTATGCAAATTTAGTACCTTGCACTTTTTAAGCTGATGTTCATATTTTGTGTTTACATTCTGTGTTTTTTTTTTTTTTTTCCAATATAGAGCTAGAAGGAAGGACACGTACACCCAAATGGAATTGGATGAGGTGCGAGAAGAATTGGCAAGTCATGTCCTAGAATGGCTTTTTGATTAAGCTAAACATTCCTTCATTTTACATGTCTTTCTAGCTAGTATTTTGCTTATGCATAGACAAGTATGGATAATTTGTGGTGTAGGGCTGGTAAATTTGTGATTTGGATGTGACAAGTATGGATCATTCAAGTATTTTGCTTATATATATATAGACAATTAAGGATATATTTAAATTACTGTTGATATAATGTTTATTTTTATGAGCAATGGCAACAACATGATTTGGAAATGAGGTCTTTCTTAAATACTATTATAGTAACTAAGTAAAGTGTGATGTGAAACAAGCAAAATACCTACTCTTTCCTTGCATTAATGATGCTTATTGTTTATAACAATTTCAGTTTTCCAGAAATAACTGAAGTTGAAAGATAAAAACAACAACCAGACATCTATTATCACTGATGCCTAAAACGAGAAGTAGCATCAACATTTATGTAACCACTAGCACTATTGGAGGTTTTTCACGTCCGCAAAATAAAAAAAAGCAATGATGTATAACATAATTCACAACACCATTATTTGTTTCTATGATGTTGTAATTGATAATATGCATCAGCATAGTAGATATCACTGATGCTGTTAGACCTCTTTAGCCTCATCCCTTTTAAAACTATTGATGATGTTAGACCTCTTTAGCCTCCTACCTTTTGAAACTACTGATGCTGTTTCGGGTTTAGGCGTCAGAAGTCAACCTTTTTTTGGCACTCGGAAATCATTTAGGCATCGGAGTTTACCAGATATCCGATGTAGTAAGTGATAAACAGCGACGGAGAATATCCGTTGCCTATTACATAGGAATAGGCAACAGGCTTGAATACCACGGTATTTATGTGTAATAGGCAACGGATAAAATCCGTTGCTAAAGCCCTTTTTTGGCATAGTGTATGTAAGCCCGTGTTTGATCGTCTCCAGAGCAATCCTCCTGCCTGGACTTCGAGTCATACAGAAATAGTTAAGCAAATTAAGATTCATGTCAAGTCTCTCCCATGCCTAGGTATTCCTTCAATCAATTCTTTTAAAATTGTTGAAACAGATGCCTCTGATATTGGTTATGGTGGTATTTTAAAACAAAGAATAAGCCCTGAGTCTCCTGAACAAATTGTTCGTTTTCATTCTGGTGCCTGGAATCAAGCTCAAAATAATTACAGTACTATTAAGAAAGAAATTTTATCTATTGTATTATGTATAAGCAAATTTCAAGATGATTTATTGAATCAAAAGTTTCTAGTTAGAGTTGATTGCAAGTCTGCAAAACGTATTTTAGAAAAAGATGTTAAAAATATAGCTAGTAAGCAAATTTTTGCACGATGGCAAGCAATACTGAGTGTTTTTTACTTTGAGCTAGAATATTTGAGAGGTAGTGAAAACAGTATCCCAGATTTTCTTACAAGAGAGTTTTTACAGGATAAAAAGCCAGAGCCATGTCAAGTAAAGAAAAAGAAAAGAAAGACAAGCAAATAATGCAATACAGTCAATCAAGCCAACCAAGCCCAGGCCAGAGTCAACCCAGAGTCCTGCCAGCAACCCTGATGCCCAAACCAGAAGCCAATGCCGAACTTGTGCCTTTTCCAGGTTCTATGTCAATCCTTGTTAATAATAGATTTAATCCTCTAAGCCAACCTTCTCTTCGCCCCAATTATCAAGCAGCATTAACTTCTCAATATGACCCTTTTATTGTTCATTCTCCTATGCCTTCTCAAAGTCCAAGCCCAGTCCAAAGGTCTAGATATATTCCCAGAAGCCATTCCCATCTATTTGTTGTTGAACCTAATTTAGAAGATTTGAATGATCCAGTCAAAATAGCTCAAAAATTCTTTCCTCCCAATTCTCAATTCTTTCCAAGCCATCCTTCGAAGTCATTAAGATTTTATAGGGACATTCTTTATGAAACCCAGTCAGTGGATATTAAGCCCATCAAAGACAAAGTAACAGATGCCACAATTTTTCATTCCCTTTATATTCGCCAAGTCATTAAGCCAGAACATTGGAGTAAAAATGCCTATGACCAGTTGCCACTTCAATCAGGCCTTACTTATAACTATGGAGATTACATTGATGCCTGGTACACAGTATTATTTCATCAGCACCCAGATTTTAGCCATTCATGGTTTATTAATTTTGATGTCAAATTCAAGCCATATTTTCCATGCTGGTTTCTCCAATGGTGGAACATTATTGGTCCCTGTTGGGAAATCCTTCCAGAAGCCCTTCGACCCACATTCAATTATTTCACCCAGAAGCATCAATTAACTAAGCAAGAAAAGTTCTTCCCTATGCTCCTCCATTTCTTTGCCAAATACAGAATTCCTTGGATTTTAAAATGGAGTTATCAGATTAATTGGGAAACCAGAATTCTAAGCCGTCACTATGTTGTAAAATGGTGGGATAAAGTTATCCTACACGAAATTATTACTCGGGTCAATGCAAATTATTCTCCTATTCAGATGCCTGCAAGCAGTTCAAATACAGTTAAAGAAGTCTCTCCAAGCAGTTCAAATGCCTCCCTTAAAGGAAAATCTAAGAAAGAATTAACAGAATTAGCACAGCAGCTCCTTGCCCAAGTCTCTCAAATGAATGATGAAGATGATGACGATGCCAGCCCAAAATCAGAATCTTCTTCCAGTCAAATGCCTAGTCAGCAATTCAGTCAGAAGCCCAAGCCTAGATGGTCAGATTACGTGCCCGACAATCATGATCCTTATGATCTCTCTGAAGATTGAAGCCCTCCTAGTCAAAGATGCCTCTACCAAAGTTAAAGTAGCCGAAAGCTGAGTTAAAGTCCTTTCACCCATGTGAAAGCAGATGTTAAAGTCCTTTCACCCATGTGAAAGCAGATGCCTTTTCAGATGCCTTTCCTTCCAGTCAAAGATGCCCGACAAAGTTTAAGTTAAATGTTTTTCACTTAAGTTAAAGTCAAAAGTTATTTTGTCTTCTCTTAAATGCCAAGACTATAAGTTAGGAGTTTCCATTCTCAGTTTTCCTCAAGCTTTGTTCAATAAGCATTGTAAGTTTCTTTCAGCTTTCAAAGTTCTCTCAGAGTTTGTAGACCTGAGGCAACTACAATAGTTGTGAGTGAGAGTGGAGTGTGAGTGTCCTGCGTGGCATTGCTTGCTTTCACTGAACTAAGATTTCTGTAAGTTCTTACTTTGTTTTCAAAGCTTCCACAGTCAATAATATTTCCAATTAATATTATTTTCTGTGTTTATTTCATAGTCCTTCAAATTCTAATTTATGTTAGTCCAATTATTTTCATTAATCTATATTCTTTATTTAATTAAACTTAGTGCTCTCATAATTTTTTATTTGTATAATTTATTCACCTACGTTAATCTTCTTTTAAGTTTATGATTAATTTATTAATTTCAATTTGCATTTATTCATTAATTTATTTTATTCATTATTTCTCTATTTTTTATTTTTTAGTTGCTCAAGTCATCTTCCAAGTCAACTACTTAGGTCATACTCTCTATTCTCTTCCGTAGCTAACAAACCCATTTCCTCTTCCATGTCTTCAAAGTCTTCAAATTATTGAATGCACAAACCAACTCTCTTAAAGTCAAGTTTCCACTATAACTAGTTAAAAATCCTTTTTATTCTAGTTCTTCTAGAGTATAGGTCCTAGTTAACTCTTACGGCTCTGATACCAGAAGGGAAACTAGGACCTATTTTTAAATGTACACACATTTTCATGCCGACTTGATTGATCGTACTAATTATATTACCGTAAGTTAACTCATCATAATTAATTTGACCTGATTCATTGCTTTGGACTGTTCTAATCGTATGGGCAAATAAATTGGGGAGACCATTTATGAACTTTTCTTTCCAAAAGGCTTGATTACTATCATCTCTAAGCATGACTCTGGAAATGAAAACATCTTTATACCATCTAAAATCACTTAGCTTAGGGCATCGTAAATTACTTAACTGGTCATGAATTCTGGCTGTTGTGCTACTAGGTGTACCTATAAAATGTTCAATAATTGTATATAAAAGGACATTAACTCCGTCTTCTATGCTTGTTCCTATTCTTTCATCTAAAATAGGGTAACCTTCTTCATTTGTTTTAAAGGCATGGATTATTCTAAGCTTAGCGTCTTCTGTGAGATGCTTATCCCACCAGAAACGAAGTGTTCCTGTAAAACCTGTTTCTAAAAGGGAAACTATTTCTGACTGTCTTAACTGATGATTAGTGGCATAACTATTGGCTACCATAGACATATGCTGTAACTTATTAAGTATCTCCTGTTCGGACAGGCCATCGATATTCCATTCGTATAGCTTGTCAGAAGACACTGAGAACTGACTCTGGGTTCTTTCTTCAAACTGGACATCTGGGGGCGTAGACTTAGGGTACCAATTTTTTGTAAGACTAGTAGGACTAACTTTACCTAATAGACGACTAACCTTAAGACTCTGGGCATCTCGATTAACTTGTAAGTTACTAAAGGCTTGCTCAATCTTAGAAATATTACTAGTTTCTGAATCTAAACCTTGCTTGATTCTACAGATATGATTGACTCACTATCAGAATTAACATCAAGACTTAAGACTTTAACTGAGGCTTCTTCTTCCTTTCCTTTGTCTTTATCTTTATTAGGCTTTGGTTTAACTGGGGTTAATTCTCGAAACATTTCTTCTATTTTACGCATTGTTGGACTGACTTTTGGACTAACTTTTGACTTAGATATTTGGCTTCTACATAATCTAGATAAGGTGACTTGGACCTAGTGGCTTTGGGATATTCTTTCCATTCATTGAAAATTTCTTTTCTTTGAGCTTGGGGGAAAGAATCATGATACTTGGCTTTCCTTTCGGCATTTTCAGGAGCTTGGAAATGGGCATCTAATTTTGACCAATGAATTTTAAACTGTTTATTAAGAACTCTTAATTGGGCATCGCAATTGTAAACTTCAAAAGTGGAATCTTGCATATTTGACTTAGTAGGTGACTCTGGTTGCATTGGCTCAGGACGTGCCGTAGGGGCTCTATTGTAACTTGGTTGAACTACTTGATTGGCTTTTCTTAATTCATTAATTTTGAAATCTATTAGGGCTTTATCAGCTTCTAAATCTCGCTCTGTTATTGAAGACGATTCTGCCAACGAATGCCTTGCTGGAAGCTTAAAAGATTGACTAGGTGT